GCAGAGCCGAAGTCCCAGATGGTGAATGGGGTACAGCATTTTCAAGGCCAAGGCTCTGGCAGAACGATAAACCAATAACCCAGTTTGGATCGAATCAGGGCATGATAGATCCTAAGCATAGAACATTGATCTGCTCCCCAAGAGGTGGAAGAGAGGACACGGAGGATGTTCAGAGTCCTTGTACACTTGACATGTAGCTGCTTGACGGGTGGAATGAAAGTAAGCTTACAGTCAAAGATAAGACCCAAGAACTTTGTTTCAGGGACCACACAAATAACAACATTGTTGAGACGGAGCTCGGGGTGTAGACCCTGTTGGCAGCAAAAATGCATGAAAACAGTTTTGTAAAAAGAAAACGTAAAACCATTTGCAGTGGTTCATTTCAACAAGCAATTGAGGGCAGTCTGAAGCTGCCACTCAGTAAACCTCATGTTCAATGACCGACACGAGATGTGGAAGTCGTTGACATAGACCCCATTTGCAAGAGCAAGAGGAAGGTGTGTAGCAATAATTTTGACACTGAAAAGTAAAAGGTTCTGTCCAGTAAAAGGTTCTGAATGAAAATGGGTAAATGGCCACACAACCCATAGGAGTGGAGGTCCTGCAAAATGCCATACCTCCACGAAGTGTCATTAGCCTGCTCAAGATCAAAGACCACGGAGACAAGATGTTCTCTCTTGAGGAAGGCATACCTGATTGATGTTTCATATTAAATTAGATGGTCCACGGTGGAGCGCTGTTGACAGAACCCACACTGGGTGGGCGAGAGGAGCTTGTTTGATTCGAGGAACCAAAAAAGATGAGCATTAACCATCCTCTCTAAGACCTTACAGAGATAGCTAGTCAAAGCAATTAGACAATAATTACCTTGGGATCTTTCCTAGGTTTAGAGAAAGGGAGTACAATAGCCTGGTGCAAAGCATCAGGAAAAACATGTTCCTGGCAGATCTGGTTAAAAATAATCAGATGAATAGCAAGAGAGGCAGGAGAGAGATGGCACAGCATCTCATAATGAACATCATCAGATCCAACCACTGAAGAGCAAGTTTGAGTTCCACCATTGTAAAGGGGCGATTATAGTCGTAGAGACGATCAGCTCGAAAGGAAAAAGGTGATTGCTCTGCCCAAGATTTTATGGCCATAAAGGCAAGGGAAGAAACAGAAGTGCTAGAAGCATGAGAAAATCTTTGGCCGAGAGCATCAGCAATGCTCTGGACATCAGCAACTTCCTGGCCATTGGAGAGCAAGATGAAAGAGGGATGGGAAGCATGCCTCCCAGTGACTTTCCAAATCTTGTAGAAGAGAAGCTAGTAGTGAACTCCTTTTGGCTTTAATGTCGAACCTGTTAAGCATGGGCTTGGGCTCGCTGATAAACTATGCAGTTAGAAAAAGAGGGATACCATGAGAAGGTATTCCAGGCCTGTTTTTGAGTCTTCCCTGCCTTCTGGCAGGCAGGACTCCACCATGGACGAGAGTACCATGGAAAACCTGTCGAGGAATAAAGTGAGCAGCTGCCTGAGCAATAAAGTCAGTCACTGTTACCACACAGACAATGGCAGGATCAAGTTCGAAGGGAGCAGTGGAAGAAGGCCAGTCAACCTGGTCCAACTGTAATCGTGGCACTTTGGTCGGGTGGCATTGACCACAGCCCACCTCTCTCAAAATGATAGGAAAATGATCACTGCCATGTGGGTCACTGTTGACCATCCAAGAAAAGTGAAGGGGAGCAGATCAAGAGATCAATGGCAGTAAAAGACTGACTAGGTGTATGAAAATAAGTATAAGCTCCAGTATTGAAAAGAGAAAGGTTGTGATCCAAGAGCATATGCTCTACGGAACGACCTTTCCCATCAAAATCACCACCACCCCAGAGGGGGTTGTGTCCATTAAAGTCTCCCAGGATTAAAAAGGGAGATGGCAACTGTTCAATGAGAGAATCAAGGTCCGATTGATCACAAGTCTCTCCAAGAAACAGGTAGAGAGAACAAACAGTGATGGTACAACCCAAGGAAATACGAATGGCAATGGCTTCCAAGGATGTATCGAGTGACACAGAAAAGGAAGGCACATGCTGGTCGACCTGCAATGCCACCCCTCCATGCACTCGTCCATCACACAACCTGTCATTCCAGTACAAAGAAAATTTCCAAAAGGTGACTGTATTGGTAAGTTTCAGATCAAGGCCTTAATGTCATTGATATTAGAAGGTTTTTCTTTACTAGAAGGAGGTCTGTCGATCTCCATGGATTCTGCCCTTGATTGAGTGGGCAGATCTCTGTCATCAGACTTAGAATTCAGTGACTGAGGAAGTGATTGAATGATTGTCCTGCATCTCAGGGCTAAAGAAGAAGGACCCTAGGGGACACCAGAGGCTGGTGCCATAGGAGGTGGACCCAGGCAGTCACTGGAAGGAATGGTGGGGACAGAGATTGGAGTAGACATAGACTGGTCAACTCTGTTATCCATTGACAGGAGAAGACCCCTCATTTGACGGAGGCATGAAAAGGTCTATCTGCACTCCCACCATAGTAGTGGAGCATAGTGCAGCAGCATACGTCTAAGATGGAGTAGGGAACAATAGCTTCCGAGCCTCGGGGTAATAAGTATTGTTGTTAACAGTTTGTCGTGGTTCTGTGATGTGTGCTCATTGTGGTGGAAACAATCCTGATGCCTACAAGTGTGAACTGGACCCACCCCTCTCACTTTAGATCTTGCCCTATGTGGGTGGAGGAGAAAGAGGTACAGCATTTGAAGGGCACTTGAAACATCAGAGAGGGTTGGGAATATATGGCTATACCTTACAGTTCAAATAGCCTGCCTTGATAGCAGCAGGTAAATGTGGTGATGAAAATGTCCAAATGTGAACATCCATGTGGAGATCCTTCAAACTGCTGAAACTCCTTTGCTTGAGAAACCAGCGAGGATCTCTGACTCGGGGATGTTCTTCAAGTCCCTCTCAACAATGACTCCTCTTGAGGAATTCAAAGAAGCATGGGGAGTCACCTAAATGGGTATATCCCCAACGGCCTTGGAATTTAGGAGAAGTTCACTGTGTTTAGCTGTGGATGTTTCCACCAAGATGTCTCCAGAATGGAGCTTCTTAACTGACTTTGTAAAGTAATTTACAATAAAGTTTAAAACCACACTAATGGAATGAGAGGACATTGAGAAACAATGAGAGTTGTCAGCTTGGAATTTGACCTTTTGTTGTTCAGTTGTTAGAACATGAGTTGAAACTGAGGGTTTGACCTACTATTCAAAAATGATATCTTAAGTTTATGAATTCTGATATTGTGTAACAATATTAATGACACTGATGGAAAATATTTCTGTTTGTCTTTCTGAGTTTAACTTGACAAGAAAATACTAAAAATCTTAAGTTTTCATTTTAAAATTTACGATTTTGAAAGATATTAGTTTTGGTTTATTTTGTTTTTACCTATAAAACATTCTGTCCTGAAGAAACAAATTTCTTTTTCCATGGCAAAATTTATAAATGAACACCCGACGATGTGATGTATCAAAGGGCTGTAAAACTGTATCACAAACGTGGTGCAATGGATGCCCTCTGTTTAGAGGATATTTAAATAACTAGCTTATTACTACCAGTAACAGTATCACACTTGCTGATAAGTAGTTAATTTTCTTTTGTGCAGTGGAGAAGTACATGCAATTATTACTTATTTCTTCGGCTATGATTATTTCTTTCTTATATCGTTGCTTTCAAAAAAAGTTTCTTGATGAATGTGTTAAGATTTATAGAGCTTGAACTGTGGATTTAGAAGTGGGAGGATTGTAGTTATATGCTCTGTAAGAACATACCCCATGAGAGATCATTTCACCAGGGGAATAACATAAGTGTGAACACCTGGGAAAAGGGCCTCAGTTCAATAGGTATGGTGTTTCCTATGTGTAGGTACTTTGTACTGTTTAGTGTAAAATGTGGGCAACTGAGAAATTGGTAGGAACCAACACAATGAAAGTTGAAATGATTTGAAACCTAAATTTAGAAATCTGTTTATAACCAGTTGGGCAATAGGCACTTATTATGCAAACGAATTCTATTTATCTTAAAGGCACACTACTGAATAACTTGTACAGGAGGAAAAAGTTGTTTGGTAAGGCTTGGCATGTTGCCTGAGAGGCAAGGGAAAAGCCTCATGTTTCTTGTGGTGAAACAATTTGATCATTCACTTATTGAAATTATTGACTTAACTATAGAATGCCAGTATGGGGTCAATATGACCCCATACAAATTAAACCTGTATACTAAACAAACCATGCTGGTATTTTATGGTTAATAACGCACCTGACTATACTACATGCGTAACAGTAAATGTAGTAATGTTTTGACATTTAAGTTTTTTTGTTTTTATTTTCTAATTTCCTTAGTATTGTGTTAGTCATCTGTCACCAGTGTGGTAGGTTATTTAATATTGGTAGTTACACCCCTACATTTCGTTACATAAATCCTATGACAATCTACGAAGGTTTCCATTACTTAGATTCAAGGAGGAGAGTTAGACTGAGTGGGAAGAATGTATACAGCTAAGAAACCTAAATAACTGTTAGCACTGTGTTTGAATAAACAGATCAGTAAGTAAGAAAATTATATAAAAGTAATATCTCTATGGAATTATTAGACTGCTTTTTTTTAATTTCAAGAGGAATTTTTATCTTTGTGGTTATTAAAATGATGTATGACAAGGCAGTTTATTGATGTATATCTATATATTTAATATGCTTGAATTATTTAGTACCTAAAGGTTTGTATCAATAATAGTTTTTTGAAATTAAGTAGATATCCAAAAGTGTATTGTAAGTAAATAAACATGTTTACATCTCCTAATGTGAAGCTTTGTTTTCTTGGCCTATCAGAAGCTCCTAGAAAAACAGTTGTATGTAAACATTTGCCAACTAACTCAAAGGTGGTAAACAGTTTATCCCCAAAATTGTTTTTATATACACACAAAAGAATATAATAATTTTTATTTTTACAGCTCGTGCTTTAATGGCAGCAGCAGTGGGAAAATCCACAAAATTGAGTAAAACAAAACCTGAAAAATCTAAAAATGTTGAACCACCACAGATTAGTCAAACATCAACTTCCCCTTCCCTGGTTAAGAAATTTAGTGAACTCAGCATCAAGAAAACAGAAGAACCTAAAACTAAAAAGAACTCTAAAACAAAGTAAGTTAAACACCTGAAGACATATCAAGAAGTAATTTATTACTTTTAAATGAGTCTCTTGGTTTTCAGATTCAAATAAACTGTGTATGATTCCAGAAATATTTATATTTAACTTTCTTTATAACTCTAAAGTGCAAAGAACTATATTCCAAATTGAAACTTTTACAAATGGTTACATATTTACCATGTTGCATTGTTTTGTTTTACTTGATGTCAAGATATAACCATAACAATGTTCTAATTCTTCTTTCTTTTTAATCTTAAGTTGTTGTTTAGAAACTGGTTTAACAAATGACATAGAAGTGTATAGCACATAAGTTTGTGCTTACTCTGTCCAGTAGTTATTTCAGTTTATTTGTTTGTAGTTAGCATTTTCCAATAGCTATATATATTATTTTAAAAATTAATGTGAAATTTCCACTTTTGTAGATGGAACTTCAGAACTTCTTTGGTACATTAGCTATTGTCAAACAACAGTAAATTGAAGATTCTTACATAGTAAAAGAAATAAACATTTTAGTAATAGCTAAGTAACTCTATGTGACAGTTTACTTTTTGTGCTTATTGTTTCATTTGTATTAACATATTTCCTTTCTTTGTTGTTGCTGTTGAAAAACATACCAATGGTTGGAGCTAAAAGTTTGACTTGCATTTTTAGACAACCATCTCGTGCCTGTTCATCCAGTAGCAGTAAACATGAAAATTACAAAACATTAGATGATATTGCTGCACACATTCTGAGACCAACCACCACTAAAATTGTAGTAATGGCTGGAGCTGGCATCAGTACTCCAAGTGGAATACCAGATTTTAGGTACGTAACTCCTGATTGGACAACTTTTAGTACATTGAAAGCTCAGTTTTTAAGTTTTCTTTTTTGTGTGTGTGTGCATTTTGTTTCATGTGACCAGTTTATGTGTTTTACAAGCAGAATTGGCCAATAATTCCTACAGTAAGTCCATTCCTAAGACTTCATTGACTGAATCAAGATCAGAGAAAACTACCAAGACCGAGTCAAATAAAACCTCTCTATTCAGGTGTGGTTTGTCACATTTGCCAGAACAAAGTTTGTGTTATGTGACTGAAATAATGACGTTTTTTCAGAATGCCTTACACACACATCAAAGCTGATTGAGGTTCTTGCAGCTCCATATACACTTAGTCTGTGTATTTCTACAGGAGCATACTATATGTTGCCATGTTCACGGTTTACTGAACCAGCCATCAAGACATTGGGCGAAAGCTGACTGCTACACATAGCCAAGGTTGTGGCCAGTTCCAACTCAGGCTCAACTAATTTAAACTAGCCAGAGCAACAGCATATAAACACTTTGTATTCAATGGCTAGGCAAACTGTAGTAGAAAGAAAGGGGCTCTTACCATCACAGTTCTGGTGTCTGTAGGATCCCATCTGTTGCCTTGGAAGACCTGTTGTCCTATATGGTCACTGCTCCATGACATTTTGTGGCATGAGGGATAGTGGAATTGGTGGACATATCAGTTTGTTTTTGTCAATCCTAGGTGTCATCAATGATTCTGGAACTGGTTCATAGTTGCTACTATTACCGGTTTCTTCATCTGCTCTATTGTATAGTTCAGTAAGACCACTTTAAACTTTGTTGATTTAAAAAATTCCCTTTTTTGAGAGATGAGATGTTCCCAAGATCATGCGGTGCTGTATGCATGAAATTGCTCGATAAACTTCTTGACAAGTATTTCATCACAGTAACCAGGAGACATGTTGAGAATGTTTCCTATGCAACCTCCTCAGATCGATCATACAAACAGCTAAGATTCTATGTGGCTCTTTCCTTTGGATCACTCACTTCTCCACAGGGTTAAATCATTAGTAAACTCATTGACAGCTGTGCCTCAGTCATCCTGTTGTTGTTGTTTTTGTCTAAATGCTTTAAAGTGTTGATTGCTAAACCATGTTAAACTTTTTCTTCATTACCCATTCAAGCCGTCTCAATGTGGGTTCCTTGTCATCGAAAGGGAGCTTTTTGTAATGGATGGTTTACATTTAAATAGGATAGGGGCTGATTTGTTTGCTAAGGCTATTAACTCAGCTGTAAGGAAGTTTTAAACTAGGACTAGACAGTGGTGAGGACCAGGAAAAGCTAAATGCAAAAACATTAATAAGCAAAGAAAAGTTTAGAATAGGAAATGAGTATAGAAGTAGTTATACTATTGTAATGCTAGAAGTATAAGAAATAAAATAGATGACTTTAGAGCACTGGTAGGAATGGAGG